TGTATCTCAATTTTTTTAACATGAAAGAAAATGTTGCTGCATGCACTAGGGGGTACCATAAGGAAACAAGATAAAACAATGAAAAAACTCTATGTACTGAAGGAAGGAGCTCACTGCTTTGGAGAGGGAGTTAGGTAACTGGACAATTACAATATAGCAAAATAAATTATATCATTGGGTTCTATAGACATGATAGGAGAACTTAGTTGGGAAAACACTTTAAAACGACCCTTGGGGGAAAAGAGGAAACATCCTAGAGATGATGACCATGGCTGAAATGACTCCTGCAGAAAGAACAGTGTTTAGCCCAATGGAAGGCAGAAGAAGTAAGGAGGAAAGATATTCGAAGCATGTCAAAACTTGAAGTGAAAAACACTGAATATTCTAGGAATTGCAAACAGTTCCAAGAAGATGGAACAGAAAATTTAGGGAAATATGGTAAGACATACAGAAAGATAAACAAGGTCTATATTATAAAGGATCTGACAAACAATGTAGGTACATCCCATAGAATAACATGGTCAACTCTTTAAGTACTTTTAAATAAGGAAATGAAATGCAGTCTGAAGAGAAAACCAGAGGAAGCAAGATTAGAGGGAGAAAGATGAAAACAGAGACTATGGTCACAATAGAGTAAGAGAATATGTTGGTTAAGCCAATGTTGTGCAAACTATGGTCTGTGAATCCTTTTTGTAAGGATAACAAACTAAAGATGGTTGTTACAGTTTTTATTATTGTTTTGTTTTTTATTTATTTTTGCATTACTAAAGATTGATCCTAGGGTGCTTTACAGCCGAGCTACATTCCCAGTCCTTTTTAGATTTTGGGTACAGGGGATTAAACTCAGGGACACTCGACCACTGAGCCACATCCCTAGCCCTATTTTGCATTTGATTTAGAGACAGAGTCTCACTGAGTAGTTTAGCACCTCACTTTTGCTTAGGCTGGCTTTTAAACTCACTTTAAACTCAATCCTCTTACCTCAGCCTCCCGAGACACTGGGATTATAGGTATGTGCCACCATGCCTGGCCCTTTTTAGTTTTTAAACAGGGTCTTGCTAAATTGTTTAGGCTGGCTTAAAACTTGAGATCCTCGTGCCACAGCCTCTTGAGCAGCTGGGATTACAGGCAGGTGTCACCATGCCTGGTTTAGTTCATTGGTTTTTTTTATTTTTTATTTTTAGTTATTTATTTAAATTAGGTATATATGACAGCAGAATGCATTTTGATTCATTGTACACAACTGCGGCACAACTTTACATTTCTATGGTTGTACACAATGTGGCATCACACCATACATGCAGTCATACATGTACCTAGGGTAATGATGTCCATCTCATTCCACCATCTTTCCTGCCCCCGTATATCCTCCCTCCCCTCCCTTCTCTTTGCCCAAAGTTCCCTCCATTTTTCCCATGCCTCCCCCATCCCCATTATGGATCAGCATCTACTTATCAAGAGAGAACATTCGGCCTTTGGTTTTTTGGGATTGACTTACTTTGCTTAGCATGATCTTCTCCAACTCCATCCATTTACCTACAAATGTCATAATTTTATTTTCTTTTAATGCTGAGTAATATTCCATTATGTCTATGTACCACAGCTTCTTTATCCATTCATGTATTGAAGGGCATCTAGGTTGGTTCCACAGTTTAGCTATTATGAATTGAGCTGCATTACTACAGTATGGGGATTTTTAAGTCCTTTGGGTATAGACTGAGGAGTGGGATAGCTGGGTCAAATGGTGGTACCATCCCAAGTTTTCTGAGGAATCTCCATACTGCTTTCCAGATTGGTTGCACCAATTTGCAATCCCACCAGCAATGTATGAGTATGCCTCTTCCCCCATATCCTCACCAACATTTATTTATTATGTTTTTTTGTTTGTTTGTTGTATTTTTGGCAGTGGGTACTGGGGATTGAATTCAGGGGCACTCAACCACTGAGCCACATCTCCATCCCTATTGTATTTATTGAGAGACAAGTTCTCACTGAGTTGCTAAATGCCTCGCCAATGCTGAGGATTGAACCCAGGGCCTTGTGCATGCAAGGCGAGTACTCTACCAACTGAGCTATGTCCCCGTGGTCTATATTCTTGATAACTGCCATTCTGACTAGCATGAGGTGAAATCTTAGAGTAGTTTTGATTTGCATTTCTCTAATTACTCTAAATACTGAACATTTTTTCATACATTTGTTGATTGAATGTATATCTTCTGTAAAGTATATGCTCAGCTCCTTAGCCCATTTATTGATTGGGTTGGTTTTTTGTTAAATTTTTTGAGTTCTTTATATATCCTGAAAATTAGTGCTCTATCTGACATGTGTGTGGCAAAAATTTGCTCCCAAAATATAGGTTCCCTGTTTACATCATTGTTTCTTTTGCTGAGAAGCTTTTTAGTTTGAGTCCATTCCATTTATAAATTCTTGATTTTTATTTCTTGCACTTGAGTTTTCTTAAGGAAGTTGAGGCCAAATCTGATATGATGAAAACTTGGGACTACTTTTTCCTCTATTAGGCGCAGGGTCACTGGACTAATTCCTAGGTCCTTGATCCACTTTTGAGTTGACTTTGTGCATGGTGAGACATAGGGGTTTATTTTCATTTTGCTGCATATGGATTTTTAGTTCTCCTAGCACCATTTGTTGAAGAGATTATCTTTTCTCCAATGTATGTTTTTGGCCCTTTGTATATTTGGACATAAATGTATTTATGTGGGTTTGTCTCTGCGTCTTCTATTCTATATCATTGGTCTACATGTCTATTTTGGTGCCAATACCATACCGTTTTTGTAACTATAGCTTTATAGTATAGTTTAAGGTCTGGTATTGTGATGCCTCCTGCTTCACTCTTCTTGCTAAGGATTGCTTTTCTGGGTCTCTTTATTTTTCCAAATGAATTTCATGATTGCTTTTTCTATTTCTATAAGGAATGATGTTGGGATTTTAATTGGAATTGCACTGAATCTGTTTAGCACTTTGGGTAGTATGGCCATTTTGACAATATTAATTTTGCCTATCCAAGAGCATGGGAGATCTTGCCATCTTCTAAGGTCTTCTTCAATTTATTTCTTGAGTATTGTGTAGTTTTCATTGTAGAGGTCTTTCACCCCTTTTGTTAAGTTGATTCCCAAGTTTTGTTTTGTTTTTTGAGGCTATTGTGAATGGGGTAGTTTTCCTAATTTCTCTTTCAGAGGATTCGTCATTGATGTATAGAAATGCATTTGAGGGCTGGGGCGTAGTCCAGTGGTAGAGTGCTTGCCTCACACATGTGAGGCACTGGGTTCAATCCTTAGCACCACATAAAAATGAATAAATAATATTTTTTTTAAAAAGAAATGCATTTGATTTATGGATATTGATTTTATATCCTGCTACTTTGCTGAATTCATTAATTAATTCTAGAAGTTTTCTGGTGGAGTTTTTTGGATCCTCTAAGTATAGAATCATGTCATCAATAAATAATGGTAGTCTGAGTTCTTCTTTTCCTTTGTCTGTCTAATTGCTCTGGCTAGAGTTTCAAGGACTATGTTGAATAGAAGTGGTGAAGGAGGGCATCCCTGTCTAGTTCCATTTTTTAAAGGGAATGCTTCCAAGTCTTCTGCAGTTAGAATGATGTTGGTCTCAGCTTTAACCTAGATAGCTTTTACAATGTTGAGGTATGTTCCTACTATCCCTAGTTTTTCTAGTGTTTTGAACATGAAAGGGTGCTATATTTTGTCAAATGCTTTCTCTGCATCAATTGTTATAATCATATGGTTCTTATCTTTAAGTTTATTGATGTGATGAATTATATTTATTGATTTCTGTATGTTGAACCATAGTTTATTGTTGTTGTTTTGGAGCTGGGGATGGTAGCCAGGACCTTAAGTGCTCTGCCACTGTGCTATAACCCAGTTGTTAGTTTGTTTCAGATGGGTTTTTGTTTTGTAGTACTGGCAATTACACCCAGGGTCCCTTGCTAGGAAAACGCTCTACCAATGTCCTGTATTGACAGCTCTTTTTATTTTTATTTTTATTAAGTTGCCCAGGCTGGCCTCAAACTTGCAGGCCTTAGCCTCCCAAATAGCTGCAATCATTAGCATGTGGCACCAACCACACCTGGCCCAGTTGTTACAGTTTTTAAATGGGGAGAAGGGAAAAAGACTTTGTGATATATATAAATACATGAATTAAATGAAATTCAAATTTCAATGAAGATTTCATGGGAAATCAGTCACAACAATCATTTACATATTGTCTGTGGCTACTTCCCAGACATACTAGCAGGGACAGATTATATGGCCTGCAAAGCCTAAAGTATTTAATATCCGTACTTTTATAGAAGAAGTCTGCCAACCCATGGTCTAAACTAATAAGAACAGAGAGATAAATAAATGAGAAATATTAAAGTGGAAGAATGAATCCTCCTGCTGATTGATTAGATCAGAAAACAAAGAGATTCAACAAAAGAAATGTCGAGGATTATGTTAAGGTTTCTAACCAGGTGTGGTGGCATAGGTCTGAAATCCCAACTACTCAGGAGGCTAACCAAGAAGGATTGCAAGTTAGAGGCCACCCTGGGCAATTTAGGGAAACCATGTCTCAAAATGAAAAATAAAAATTACTGGGGATAGAGCTCAGTATTGGAAAGAAAAAAAAAAACAGAAGGATGTGATGAGTAAGAATAGAATTCTCTGTAAAACAGAAAAAGAGAAAGAGACTTGTGGGTGAAGCGGGGAAATTATTTTTTCAGATCTGGACCGATTGACTTTGAGGCATTTCTGACATACCCAAGAAGAGATCTTCAGTACACAGTTGGGCATATGGGTCTGGAACTTGGGGATGATTGCAGAGAAATGAGCATGTAAAAGGTATTCAAAGCCATTGGAATAAGATCACTAAGAGAAAACTTCACAGGCAGCAGAAAAAACTAACAACAACAACTATTTGATCAATTATTAAGAACTGCTATCTACTAACTCTCAGCCTATGTTTACATTCTTTTTTTTTTTTTCCCTCTATGTAGAATGATTGATTGGAGTCCTGGAGGAGCAAGCTGGCCCCACACTTCTCCAAATCCACATTTCTTTTCCTACAAAGACTGGGAACCAAAGACACGCCTTTGTAGGAGGGTAAATGTTTACATTCTTTACTGATCTCTTTGTTCTCATGATTCAATTTCCTTTTGTATTTGTTGCCCCTCCAAAGAACATAACCTCCAAAGAACATAACATGTAGTCTTGTTTCCAAAAAGTGTATATTACTTGTTTTTTAACACATTTTTATGATACTATGTCAGCTTCTCAGTAATCTCTATTTTAAACCTGTTTCTGAAATTGCTAGAGGGATGCTATTCTTGAATGCACCAGATTGGACAAGGGAAGATGGGGGAAGAGAGAGGAGAGGAGAATAGGGATGACATAGAATGAATTGGACATAACTTTCTATGTTGATATGAATACATGACCAGTGTAACTCCACATCATGTGCAACCGCAAAAATGGAACCTTATACTCCATGTATGTATATCAAAATACATTCTACTGTCATGCATAATTAAAAAGAACAAATAAAAAATTATTAAAATAGAAGTCATGAATGGCATCGGCTTCCTTGGACTATCTCCCTTCTGTACTTATATACTTAAATAAAATTTTTAAAAGGAGGATAAGGATAAAGTCAATCTATAGACTACAAAAAAAGTAGAGGATTATATGGGGAATACTGCTTTATTCTTATCATTTCAATTTTCTCTTCCAAATTCTTTATTAAGAATGAAGATGTTGGGCTGGGGCTGTAGCTCAATGGCAGAGCGCTTGCCTAGCATGCGTGTGAGGCACTGGGTTCGATCCTCAGCACCAGATAAAAATAAACAAATAAAATAAAGAAGAATGAAGATGCTGATCTCAATATATTTAAGTTCTCACATTTCTAAAAACTGCCCTGGAACAATGTATTTTGCATGATATTAAAGAGAAAATCACAGCTTGTCTTAATGAAAGCCTTTTCTTAATCTAAGCATAATAAATTTATTTCCCACCACATTCCTTTGCCATATACAGTTATTTTTTTCACTTAGCTTCTTCACATCTCATTTATGGCAAATTGTTCCCTTGACATCTCATCTTCTCTACTTTTCCCATCAATCTTTCCTACAAGATTTTCACAAAAAATCTTATATTCAGTGCTTAATATTAATAGCAGGTACCAGTTCTCAGATTTCTCTCACTTCCTATTAATGCCAGTTTCATTCTGCTTATCAACTCACTTCCAAAGAGATGCTAAGAATGTGCTTAATGATTAATACAGACTCCAGTGGCTGTGGCCATTAAACCCACAAGTTCCTTTCCCTCTTCAGCAATTTTTTTGTTTTGCTCACTTACAGAACCTAGGTGTCTGTTGTTGCATTATTTGCTCATCTTTTTGACACAATATTACAGCCACCTGATGACCCATTTCTTCACCTAAAATCCCCACCCCTCAAATTCTTCTCATGTCAAAACAAGTTAAAAAAATTCCTCAAACATTGAATATTAACTTGAGAAAACTAAATCTGTTTTCACCTACCAAATCCCCTTGCAAAAATCTAAGAAGTGGAAATCCATGACTTATATTTTGGCTTTAAGCTTATGTTTGCTTGAGTCTGGTTATAAAGACTTCTCCTATTTGCTTTCTGATTTTTAATATTTGTTCCAATTTCTTCAACTCTTTTTCCTTTTATGCTTTTCATTAATCATATCTGCATACAGATAGGACTGTTTAGCTCTTTAATTCCTTTAGTTTTAACCATTCTCAAAGCCTTTACTTCCTTTGATATCTCCACCATCCCATCACCTCTAAAAAAAAAAGCTTCTCTTCTAGTTATTCCTCCTATTGCTTTTAGTTTCCTCATATCCCAAAAGTAATTTGCTTATCTTCTAAATGAGTCTGCCAAAACTTCCCAGCTGTTGAAAAATTAATTTTAGTTCTTACTATTACCTAATGGAAAAATAAATTATTTTCACTTTGCCACACATACTCTTCTGTTGAATTGACAAAACTATAGGAATACTTTTCTTCTTTTCCTAAATATATTCCAGACAGGTGATAGCACAAAAACTCTAAAAAGTATAATTTAATCCATCATTTATAAAAGGATGCTCATTATCTGGATTCATTGGGGGTATTTTTAAATTATTATTTTAAGACCTTTTATTCACTTATAACATCCAAGATATTCTACTTATAATAGGCAAGAAAGATACCAAATAATTTTTTTCTTTCAAATTTACTTGCAGATGAGAGACAGATGTGGATAATGGGTGATTTGGCTAGATAGACAAATAGACCTTCACAAACATAGTCCATCCCTTGCCTAATTTTCATCTATGGCCAGACAGACTGCAATCCAAATTTCAATATGCCTGTAGTTGCAGCCACTCTACTCTGGAGGCTAAAGGAGGAGGGAGGACCACTTTAGCCCAGGAGTTCAAAGATAACCAGGGAAACATAGTGAGACCCTCTTAGGGAAAAATCTTTTCCAATGCTCAAAACACCTTGCCTACACCCAAGTCTACTACAAAGAGCCACATAATTCGTTCTTTTTTTATGTAAATGTAAATTACAAAAATTTATTATTTTTTTTTAGTTTTATTGATTTCATTTTTTTAAATACTTGACAGCAGAATGCATCACAATTCTTATTACACATATAGAGTACAATTTTTCATATCTTTGAATATAGAGTATATTCATACCAATTCATGCCTGTACATGTACTTTTTTTGCATTATAATTCTTATTACACATATATACAATTTTTCATATCTCTGTTTATATATAAAGTATGTTGACACCCATACATGTACTTTGGATAATGATGTCCATCACATTCCACAGTCCTTGCTAATCTCCTGCCCCCTCCCTTTCCCTCCCAGCCCTCTTCCCAATCTAGAATTCATCTAATCCTCCCATGCTCCCCCTCCCTACCCCACTATGAGTCAGCCTCCTTATATCAGAGAAAACATTTGGCATTGGCTAACTTCACTCAGCATTTCTTCTCCAACGCCATCCATTTACCTGCAAATGCCATGATTTTTATTCTCTTTTAATGCTGAGTAAAATTCCATTGTGTATATATGCCACATTTCTTTTATCCATTCATCCACTGAAGGGCATCTAGATTGGCTCCACAGTTTAGCTATTGTGAATTGTGCTGCTATAAACATTGATGTGATTGTGTCCCTGTATTATGCTTTTTTATAAGTCTTTTGGGTATAGTCCCAAGAGAGGGATAGCTGGGTCAAATGGTGGTTCCATTCCCAGATTTCCAAGGAATCTCCATACTGCTTTCCATATTGGCTGTACCAATTTGCAGTCCCACCAGTAATATATAAGTGTACCTTTTCCCCACATCCTCTCCAACACTTATTGTTGTTTTTTCTTCATAATAGCTGCCATTCTGACTGTAGTGAGATGGTATCTTAGAGTAGTTTTGATTTGCATTTCTCTGATTGCTAGAGATGATGAGTATTTTTTCATATATTTATTGATTGTATATCCTCTTCTGAGAAGTGTCTGTTCAGTTCCTTGCCCCATTTGTTGATTGGGTTATTTGTTTTTTCGGTGTTTAGTTGTTTGAGTTCTTTATATACTCTAGAGATTAGTGCTCTGATGTGTGAGGATTAAAAATTTGCTCCCAGGATGTGGGCTCTCTGTTCACCTCAGATTGTTTCCTTTGCTGAGAAGAAACTTTTTAGTTTGATTCCATCCCATTTATTGATTCTTGGTTTTAATTCTTGCACTATAGGAGTCTTATTAAGGAAGTAGGGGCCTAATCTGATATGATGGAGATTTGGGCCTACTTTTTCTCTATCAGTTGCAGGGTCCTTGGTTCAATTCCTAGGTCCTTGATCCACTTTGAGTTGAGTGTAAAACCAGATTAAAAAAAAAAAAAAAAAAATCTTTTTTTTTTTTTTTTTACTTGTAAATGGACTCAATACCTTTATTTATTTACTTATTTTTATGTGATGCTGAGGGTCAAACCCAGGGTATCACACATGCTAGGCAAGTGCTGTGTAATTGAGCTGCAGCCTCAGCCCCTCAACCAGATTTATACAAAAAACATTGTTAACTGGGGAAAATATGTGGGGACATCTGTGGTGCCACTGGTATAGGAATCACGGTTAAGCAGGAACTTTGGGAGATTTTTTCCCCTATCTGTTGGCCATGGTTTGAGGATCCTGTTTGTTATTGTTTTTTTGTTTATATCTATTTCTGGTCCTTTAAGACATAGGCAATAGTGTGTTGATCCTATAGATTGTTTCTTGGGAAAGATCTTGGCTGAATGGGCCACCTATAGATGTCAACGTGTCTAAAGAAAAGATGATGTTTTACTATAACAGTCTGGTCTTTGAATGGTTTCCTGAATTATTGTACAATCTTGCAGTTGTGAGTTGATCTGTCACAGATAAAATAAGTATTCTGTTTGTACAGGCATGTATGCCATTATATAATAAGGAGACTTAACAATCAAAAACTAAGTTGGATGCAAAAGGTGCTGCCTCTAATGTGTGAGCATAGCAGACACCAAAGGAGGATTAAAAAAAAAAATAATTATATATATATATATATATAAATATATATATTTTTTTTTTTTTTTTTTCTCTTTCAACCCTGTGCTGACAGTCTCAGTACCATTTTTCAGCCTGGCCCCAGGCAACTGCAATTCAACCCGCTATGGTCAGGGACACCAGTTCTGGGATAAAGGAAAAATAAATAGATAGATAGATAGATAGATAGATAGATAGATAGATAGATAGAACTCAAAAGCTGCCTGGTCTATAGAGAAATGGGCAAAAAGACCTGGCCTCTACTCTGCTTTTTAGCCACTCTTTGCCCATGAGAATAAAACTGGAGTTTGAGAACAGGGCTCAGTTTGCTGCTTCTGCTGATATATAACATACATGTGGGTTCTAGGTCTCACCGATTTTCTTTCTACGTTCTCATGAGTTCAAAGAATGAAATCCATGGATGATGGTAGAGGATAAAAATTTTAAAAATTAAAATTAGTTTTGAGTGAGAATTAAAAAATGAAACTCCCCTTCATAAGAGGGGCAAACTTGTGGAAAACTTTTCCATTTGAGTGTACTAGTCTGGGGACTTAAGGCTTCTGGATAAAAGCACTGATCAGAGTCCATGCTGAATAGACATTAAAAGCATTGGGGCTAATTGTTGAAATCTAAGCTGTATGAATGCTGGGAAGGTACGAAAGAGACTTGGCCTATGACTTTCTATTTTGCTGTATGCTTTTAGTCCTCAAATCTGATTTTTTTTGCAACCTCCATTTGGGTTCACCCCAATTTCCATTTTCCCTGGCACTTAAGGGACAAAGGAGTAGACTGGAATGTATAACTTCACAAGGTTGCCTTTACATTTAGGGAAAAAAAAAAAAAAAACTTATCTGGTGCCATTAC